CGCCGTCCAAGGCAGCCAGAGCCGCGTGAACGTCGTCGACACCATTGAGGATGAGGGTCCTAAGCGACGGCGATGCGAGGAGTGCGCGCGCGGAGCGGCATGCAATCGTCTACCGGACCGGAATTGTAGCGCGTCAATTCGAAGCTGAGCGAGCGCAACGGAAACGCTGGTCGCGCGAGCGCCGACATCCAGAGCGCTGCGTTCGCTGGATCGGACAAGCGGACCATGGCGCTCTCGATGTAGTGGCACAAGTCAAGTAGCTCGTGCACGTGAGCTGAGAACTCTGCATCCTTCGTCGCGACCGAGACGTCCCGGACGCGGTCGCCCCAAACACGCGCAAACGCCAGAGCCGTATCGTTGCGCGACCTCAACGACAGCCAGACGCGCGACGATCGAGGCAGTGGCGCGGCCAGCCATCGGAGATTGGTGGCAGGCCCCACAGACACGTACGGAAAGGCGGACAGCGCAGTGATGCCGAGGTCAATGGACCCCACTGGAAAGTTCTCGAGGTACAAACACGGCCAGTGGCGCGTGAGGTCCATCGACTGGCCGAGCGAGAGCAGCGCGTGAAGGGCCGGCGGTAGGTCCGGCAGCGCCGACACGAAGGCGACGACGTCTTTGGGCTCCGAGAGCAGGTGCACGATGTCGAGCAGCACGGTGCTCAGTGTATCGGTGACGTGGCGCATTCAGATGGCTAATTGAATTGTTCTGGAGACGTGTGCTCCAGTTCTGGTTAACCATCATTCACTTGGCAACACCATCATCATGGATTGTAGTGTGCCAAGGGAATGTTCCAATAATGGGCAGTGCAGCAGTAAAATTCATGGCATTCCACACCATCTGTCTTTTCAACGACAAAAAAGGTTGTTTGCAGCGTGTAAATATATTACTATATATATATTGATCAAGTGTGGCTCGACGCGTGGCGCTGGCGAAACTCGACAAAGTCGTCGTTGCGTGTGATCGGGTTGAGTTTCAGATGGGCCATGTCGATGCGGTGCGACCGGAACGAAGCGCCTTCGTCGCTCGACCGGTGGAAGATCGCACCGCGCTTTTCCTTGGAGAAGGTGACATCTGGGCTGTTGGAGAGGTACCGGAGACCGGCAAAGGTCGACATGCCCGTGGCAAACGTGATGATGCCGATGATCGGGTACGTAGCCGGGTCCGAGAACCACGTCTTGATGACAGACTGGGTCGCGCGGGCAGTGGTCGAGGCCATAGTTGTTGTTGGTAGTTGGTGGGGAGCAAGCAAGTGCTGGAATGAGCTTCGTATGGCTCCCCCCGCGCCAACAGAAGATCGCTACGCCAAAAACACGCAACACATCAGAGAAAGTGAAATTGACACCTGAATTGACACGCGCGTTTCACATCGCATCCGGATACTTGCTGGGGCCGTTTCCAAGAAGTGGAAGAGGTTTTCCGCGCAAGGCCGAACGAACTAGAAGACCGGCTCCAAGATCGCATACGTTACAAGATCCAAGATCGAAGCGCAGAGCACACGAGCTCAAGCCATCTCCAAATTGGTAGCGTCAGTCAATAGCTAACCCGCCTCGCCCACCTCTGGCATGGCGAACACCAACACGGTTGTTGCCCCCAAGTAGTTCGGTCTTGATTGAGGAAAATTTGAATCGTGATAGCCTTGCATATCCGGATAGACGCGGTTCGCGGCGTGTCAATGCTGCCGCAAGTCGCGTGTCTTTGGTGTTGCGATCTTCTGTTGGCGCGAAAGCCGTCGGCTCGTCCCCGAACGTCACGTTGACCGTCAACAACGTCCTGAGCTACCCGCAAGCTGTGTTCCCAGAGCTGGCGGCGCAAGCCCGCATCGAAACCGATCGCTGGGGACGAAGGTTAGTGGTAGAGTCCAAAGCTATGTCGTAATGAATCATGGCGTTTGCCCGACTCTACACTATGCCGCACGCAGATACATGGAGCTCGATGGATGATGATGGATGTACGAGCATGTCAATCAACACAAACGTTTCAAGGGCAACAGAGGAACACTTTTTTGCACACGTACTGAAGTCATTAGAGGAGCCAGGCTGCAGGAAAGCTGACCGAACGTCGTAGCTTGTGACGAGACGAGGGGTAGGTCGAGTTCGGTTGTGGCATTTGGCGGCTACAAAAGTGACGTCAGTACCTCAGATACAGCTCTTGACGAGCCCTAATCTCCGTTTCCGAAGCGGTGGCTTCGTGAGGCATTACGCAAGAAACACCATGATATGCACAGTGGATCAATGTCCAAAGTATAGCTTGCAACACCAAAACTGGACTCATTCAAGCGATTGTATTGGTCTGAAAGTAACGCCTAGTCGAGTCGCGTCGCAGCGCCGAGCAGCCGTGGTTCGTGTGCTGATGCTGGAGTAAAGTGTAGTACGTCGAGTGAGGTGGCGGTGGACTGCTCTTGCTGACGACGCGTCTCGATGTTGCGCTTGGTCCAAAAGCCGGGGACTGCGCGTGGCAGCGAACCGATACGAGCAGCGTGGATTCCGTGAGTATGTGTCGTTGGTGGATCGGGGTGGCTGTGCGCTGCTCTGAGGTTCAAAGCGAGATGCTTGCTGGTCTTGTTCGAGATGTTGTTCGAGTTGTTGGTGATGTGGCAGCTTGCTGTCTCGACGGACAACGACGGGCGGGCATGGCAACAAACAGCGTTCAAGTCAAAAGTCGAGAGCGCGTGGTGGCTGTGAGCTGTTTTGGGTGCCGCGTGCGCCGAGGTTCGATGAGGAGGATGGCTGCAGATTGTCTTCATCGTGCGGTGGCACCGAGGCCGCAACAGACAGTCGAGGTGAGTCTTGAGTGCCGACGCCGCGGCTGGTTACCATGGCGTCCGGAGCATGGCGAGCCAAATCAAAACTGAGGTGGTGGAACACAAGACGGAGTTCTGACCATCATTAACATAGTATTGTGCTTGTTTGTAAACGATGGTTAGGGGTGTAGATGAAGAGAAAGTGTGGTCGTGCATCGAGGCATCGAGGCCACCATCACTCACAGGACGGCTTGGCTTTGCAGAGCTTTCCACAGGAAGGAGAGAAAGTATGGCACTCCATCGAGGCCACCATCACTCACAGGACAACTTTCTCTCCATCCACACCCCTAACCATCGT